TTTCTCAGGGTGACCTTATAATTATAAAACGGTGCAAAAGCCGACACTATCTTTGAAAAATTCATAAAAATATTTGAGGTGAAGGATATTGCGACTAAAATTTGAATACGGAAGCACACTGTGATGAGGAATCTTCCATTGTTTGCCAAAAAATTCCATTCCGGCTGCTTTCTCCAGAATCGCAAAAATCGAGGGTGACCTTGTAATTATGAAACGCGCTGTATATGGCATGCACTTGTCAACCATAGCGTGGTCATGAGCGAAAAGTCAGCAACTTCAATAGTCATCTGACAAACGCTTGTCTACGACTCACATTAATATGCCGTGTTGTTTATTGGGTCGAAACGACCAGGGGCAACTTCCTCCTTCGAAGAAATTAGAACTTAGGGCCCTAATAACTAAATACATTGGCGTCTAATTCGATCTACCCTTAGAGCTGTTGTACGATACTCGATGACAACCAACATTCTGATTCGAAACCGAAGAGGATACTTTGGAAGTTCACCAGAGCTCTGAATGAGAGTAGCTCACCTAAACTTGATGAAAGCCCGAACCCAAATTCCAAATGTCTGCATATAAGGTCCAACAACGGAATGTCACGAGACTGACGAGGAGTATGGGTACATTCGCCCAATTCTGCATGGACGCGACGTACTTAAACTCGTAGTGATTTGAACGGCTCTGGTGCCTATCATTAGGGCACAGGTTTCAAGTAAATTGGATATGTAGGACCAGCCTATGCTACTCTCTATTCTACTTCAAATTTGTGCCCCTTTGGTAGGCGCCAAGGTCGGCTGAATCATCATGAATTGCGCCGCGCAGTTTCAGTCCATCCAGAATTGGGTGAATGGTTGCCCCCCCCCCTCGTTCAAATCGCTACTAATTTCGCCGCACAATTGGCCGGGCCCTTCAAACGAGCAAACTCAGTATTCCCTTGAAACGCACTTATGTAGGTACAAAACAGAATGGGCCGCCAAAAAAGCAGTTAGATCCGATATGACTTTCATTGTACATAAAGGAAAGAATTTGCATTCTTCCAAGTTTTTATTATACCTGATCGCAGCGTAGTCGTCCTGTCATAAATGGAAGCATGGAATTCTAAGGCATTGCATTCTCTTCTTGTAGGCAAAGCTCCCAACATCAGGAACCTCCAAGTTATCTGATTGCGAACATTCATAACACGGGAACTGAACATGGAAGCCTATGACGAGGGTAACGAGACTAATCTAAAGAACAATTCCTGACTCTAAAAGACAGAGCCCTGAAAAAAAGGTGATTGTGGGGCATTTCAAAGCCTTTCAAGAATAAGATAACTCGCCCAATTACATCTTGAACCGTTCCCCGTACTACTGATGCATTGCGCAGTTCATTATGTAGATGCGCTTGCAGAAATTCGGGCGAGCGAGCAAAGGTTCCCACTCACATAATCAACAATCGATAGTAGTGTGCGATTTTTGAATGGCCCGCACTGATCTCGTTATCTGTTTCCAACTGAGTTACTGCGAATGTGGGTTTGGAAGCAATAAAAACGCCTCAATAATAAAACACGCGCGTGCCACGTGCCGGAGAGTTGTCGGTGAATAAAAAGGTGATCCGAGCAAGGTATTAATGGAAAACCAGTTAACGAATTTTTGCAATAACTGTCGACTTTATTTGAATCATTACACCAACAACAAATGAAGGAAAAAGGAGTCATGAGAGTGTGAGTGTCCAATATATACAAAAATATAAGGTAAACTTTAAATCATGCACAAAAATGAGAAGGTGGCTAGTGAAATGGAGGACTGATACTGAAGGCAGCTTGTACTTGGAGCCAAAAACAAAGTGTAACATAAAAAGGTGATAATACAGGTCGGCAACAACGAAAAGGCCGACAACTCCGTAACTAACTACACACTGTCACATTGTACCTGATTATAATAGGAGATTTGTAAGATGTCAAGCGTTTCATTAGAAGAATAGAATATAATCATTGTCTATAAAAAGGCCTACCCGATTGACGACATTTGCCGCGAAAAAATTCAAAAGCATAGCAACAAGCAAGCAAGATTCAGATTACACACGTTGAGCAACACGACGGTAGATCTGCTTGCATCCCATCGCATTCGATTCCGTAGATTACCGTCGCCTTGCTATGCAACCAACAAATATTCTGAGGCTTGAGTGGTGTACAAAAAGCAATTCCATCAGATCTTTTTCAAACAGGTGGTGGTCCATTAACATAAATTAGATGCGGCCCAAATGTCGTACCGAACAGCCCAACATATATCAGAGTAGCCATCGTTGCCAACAGGGCTAATATGAAAACAAGTTTCGCCACTGTTGAGGCTGCGATTGCTTTGTATAGACGACTACCAAGACTTTGATGGGGTCTTGGAAGAATGGACGTCTGAGTGAGTGTCGACTGAGTCTTCACACGACGTTTCGTGCACTGTTGTGGCTCCTTCGGTATCGTAACTGGTCCTGGTGGGGTAGGAATTCGGAAGTGCTCTTGAAATCTGAATAAAATCTTATCAGGATCAGCCTCATAAAAGAAGTGTTGATCGTAACTGAGACTTCGTTTCATTTGAAACATTTGATGTACACGGATTTAATCGAATGAGAACATATATATCCTTCACTGATTTGAAGCTGCTACAATACGGTGAAATTGAACGGAGGGATACGGTTATTAGGATTATTCGGTTACTTTCACATTTTTTTAGCGTCAAATCAGTTCCCTTGTAAGCACGAAATTAAGCGACTTATCCAAAATCATTGAACAATGTTGACGATACCTCGTTTTCAACTGTTCCATGGCATTTTCATAGAGAACAATTTCTGATCGGAAGTCAGGTAGAGCCGCGCTGCTTTCGGAACCTTGGACAGATTGCAGCGAAGTGGTAAGGTAGTTGCACATGGTTTCAAGGCTAAAACTCATTGGTATTAAAAGGTCTTGTTGAACCTGCTCTTGCACAAACCCCATACCTATTCATTCTTTCCTGACAAAGCTCCATTTCTTCGGAAATTTGGAGCTGGTCAAATTTATCCGCTTTCAAATTATCTTCAATGCGATTCATCTGATCTCTGAACAAGTGTGCTTTCACTTCGGCATAGGAACTTTCAGTCCGTGCGCATTCAGGAGATCAAGATGAAAATTACCGTATCCCCTTCAACTGTTCACTCCATTCTGTCCAAACCTCGTCGAGTTTTTGTAGCGAGCTCACTAAGTTGTTTATGCGCTCCACTGCATCATCATAGCCTGAGGAAATAGATGTGAACTCCGACGAGAGTTCGGTAAGTTCACAGACCATCAACGGCGATGACAAGAGAACTCTGAAAATAAATTCGTGCCTCATCAAAAAAAAAAAAACTCAACTCAATACTAGATGATTACCAGTTACCCTTCAGGTAGGTTTAATTTCGGAAAAAAGTTATTGGTGAACTATTGATCGAAGGAAAAATGAGAATTTTTTCTTGATAGTGTTTATTGTGCGCTCGCAGAAAAGTTGACAGTGAGGTTTCATCTTCGCTAAGAAATGAAGGTAGCTCGCGCAAATTAAGCGATTATATGGATGAATTGCGTTGTATATTCGTATTTAGTCATAAACATGTGTTCGAAGCCAGACCGATAGCGAAAATCATAAGGTTAATCATTAGACGCTACTGCAGCTTTGCTTTGTTCGACCTGAGATGACGTAGAGCTAGCTAGTTCTGATCTTTTCAGGAGCTACTTCTTCAAGCCCCCGCACGGTTGATTCAATGATTCAGTCTGATCACGGTAGCGCAACGAGCCCAACGTTGAAACTTCTTAAGACTAAGAACTAATAGTTAATCATGCACGACAAGACAATTTCTGGCCACAGAGTTTTTAAAACAAAACGATGAGAAACAGCTGCGGGGATCATAGAACATGAGAAAAAAGCCGCGCCTTTCCCATGCCATCGCCACCGCTATCGCAAACTCTGTCTCGAGGCCCCTTGCAGCTGAAGAACTTTGCAGAACTGTCAAGTAATGTGATGGGATAGGTCAAAAGCATAGCTAATGAGCCACGAACTGTGTTGTTTCAACACAGGAGAAACGAAGTTTTGGAACTCGTAGCGTTGATCAATGCCGTTTTGAAAGAGGCATATGCAATCGTTCCCATTGATCAAGAGAACCGGAGAAACAGAACGTGTCGGACATATTCTTGTCCTGCTCAACCATTCCTAAGAACCAGCCGTTGTATATGTACGCAGGCATCGATACCCTCTCCGACACATCTGAACCCAAGGCTCTACAGGGTGATATAGATTATTGGTCCAAATGTGATCCATTCCTCGGACTTCTTCACGGATCACCCATGTGCCAAGCGACACCGCATGCGCCATATCGTAAATTGTTCGGTTCCTAAATTTTTTAAAACGCTTTCATGAAGTATGGGTGTTCTTTGGATCAGGGAAGATTTTTCGATCACTAAGTAGGACAAGAAGAGCGAAGATCGCCCTGCTGTATTGTTTAACAAGTAATATGAGAATAGGCTCGATTAAATAAACACATATTTCACTGCTAACAAACATCTGGACGTGGACGAATCAGCCGAGCTTACGCGATGATCGTTCCACTCGACGGTTGAAAATACGAGGGATCCATGTTAGGCGTTTCGAGATGTTGTACTATCACAATATTCCAAGTCCTTACTGCATCAAACTGTTACGAAATATGGCAATAAAGCTCTAAGTATTTCCTCTTTCCTTCCCTATAACACGATCCAGGAGCGATGATTCTCTATGCCAACCGTGGGTATGGCCTAAATGTAGGTACTTGATTAGGAGCTTCATTAGGTACCAACGATCTACACCGCTTAGGTCTCAAGTGAAATACGGAGGGGGAGGGGAAATTAAGTAATGTATGTAGTGATGAAGTGAATCTAGCTCAAAGATAAAAGAAGATGAAAAACTCAAGTTCACTGTTCCGATAAACCAGAGTCAACGTTCAGAAGGATCAATTTCACCTTATAAGTCTGTGTAACGTTTGATAACATAGTTCTAACAAGATTAAACCTCCAAAATGTGGAATGATTCAATGCATGTCTAATTGTGAGTTAAGTGTTGAGTTCGTTAACATAGCAACGACTGCCTAATTTTTGATAGAATCACATGAATGGAGCGTATATACTTGGACCAATCGGATCGCTCAGTTTACTCCTCTTTCTTGCGTTGAAGTTGACCGTACGCCTGCATTCTGCATATACCCGCACGCATGGCCCGCTCCCTCCATAACCCCTGCGCCACCGCGAGCGAATCCAATTTCCCACTTTCTACTACCTACCATCGGTGTCCTAATCCTTCCGCCTATACTCGTGCAAAATTTTAACGCCCTACGCTCAAATTAGTAATTTAGTCAGACTGCATCAATACTAATCAGCATTGCCACCCTACGTCCTGCTCACATACCGCATTTAAACGGCCCAGGTTCAAATTAACAAATTTCACTCACGCCTCGTCTCTGTGGATTTTAGCCCTACCCGCTCTCATCAGTGTTTCCCTCCCCCCCCNCCCCCCCCCCCCCCCCCCCCCCTGAACCCCTACCAAATTTTTTGAACACTCTAGTTCCAAATTAACAATTTCTGCTAACAACCCGTCCCTATGTAGTTTTCTGAGTCCAGGAATGAAACACACACCTTCATATGCGCTTCCTTTTGTTTAGAACTTTGTGCAACTTTGAAATTCTGCAGATAGACAAAAGCTTATTGTCGAAAGGAAAAATGCCAATATTAAAAGGCATGAGTACACCAAGTACACCAAGACCTCGGGCTTTCCTATTCCCCTTGTTATGACATCTCTGTGCTATTGAGGATATAAGTCTCCATTTGAAAATCAGCTCATCACCTTACAAAGCTCTAGGCGGGCATGAATTTTACGAAGCAATGAAATCGAATGCAAACTAATAAGGTTTAAGTAGGAAATTAGGAATTTCTTGAGGAAATGTTGTATTTAATCGTTTTTGCAGATAGATCTCTGATCCCATACCTTAGTTCGTCTCTCTCCTTGCACAGCCTTGCCTGAATTTGTGACATCACCTCCAAAGCAATGCGAACGTCCTCCTTTGATTTGATTGCTGTCATTGCACTGAGCGAAGAATTCGACGACGCCTCATGCAGATCTCTCAAAGAATTCGCAAAACACTCTACCTGAAAGCAAACTGTAGAACATTTATTACTACACTATATGATACCGGTTGAGCTTCGCACACTAACGCGTGCGTAGTAGTAAGGAATACAACGAACAGAGCCGTTTTTTTTTAGCTAATATCAAGTTTCGTGACTACAGGCAGAGAACAAGACAGAAGGCGGACCGTCAGACGCGAGCGCTATATTTGATTTGTAAGGATATATTTGTATTGACAAGGATATACATACATCATATAAAACATTTGCGTTTTGAAAGGCGGCGAAAAGGGCAGAAAATCGCGACATCTTCTATACGATCTCAAAACGAGAGTGGTCAACGGCGACGTTTCACATGCCCACCTACAGTCCAAATTAATCTGAACTGGATTTCAAAGTTCAGCCAAATTTTTGGCATCTCTAGTAATCCAGACCAGCTTGAAGTTGCCATTTCAATTGTTACTTAACCTTTAGTAAGCAAACCCCATTGTCAGTTCATGTTATAGTACAACGAAAGTTTTCACAAAAAATACCGACGCTACAAATCGGAATTATTATTTTCACCTTGTTAATAAGTTGTGGTATAGGAGATGCCGCTTGTTCGAAAAGCGATTTCCACTGTTCTCTTAAACAGGCGACGTCTTCGTTACGCTCGCCAGACATTCGTATTACAGTGTCCAGTTGACGAAGATTTGCACGAGCTATCATTTGGATGCTTTCCTAAAATATAATACACTGGTTGTTGAAAGAAGTAGCAACAAGTGAGTTAGTGTAAAATCCGATCTGTAGTAGGAAGTTGTGCGCCAAAAGGAGAAGCTCATGGCTTAAAACCTAGGGTGCTTCAATCGAGGACATGCTGCATAGCACTGCTGCCTTGTTAGAAAGAAGCCAGTGAGAGGAAAATTCAACATGGAGGTTCTTATGAGTAGTTGCCATCCCGTCCCCCAACTTTCCCTCATTTCTGTGACAATTGAAGGTGTACTTGTAATACAGTTACAAAAAAAAAACTATTATCAGTTCTGCTGTCATCAGAACACATCACCTGTATCACCTGTACTCCCGTTGATCGTCGATTTCCTCGAGCGGGCGCCAGTAACGTCTCCATTCGTCCCTGTCGCGAGCCAGAGTAGTCCAGTGAATCGCACTCGCTCGAGGGACACGGGGCAATACGTTCCTTTCATTCAGAGCTTTCGTGAAGAAGTCTGACCATCTCGTTGGCGGCCGTCCTGGTGTTCGCTTGACGTCCCGAGGGATCCAGTCCGTAACCGCCCTGGTCCAACGGTCATCATTATATCGCATAACGTGTCCGGCCCACCTGATCTTCGATCTCTTGGCGTAATCAACGGCATCCCTGATCTTCGTTCGTCGACGGAGCTCGGAACTCCGGATTCCCTTCTGCACTTGCGTGTATAGGGAAATTCCGAGCATCGTCCTTTCCACAGCGCGTTGAATGACGCTAACTGCATGCTCATCCTGCTTTCGTAGAGTCCAAGTATCTGAGGCGTATGTCAAAGCAGGAAGTACCGCAGTGTCGAAAAGGTGAGCGCGGAGCCGGATGTTCTTCGTTTTCTTCACTACTCCCTCGATGTTCTTAAATGCTCCCCACGCCGCGCGTTTCCGTCTGCTCAGCTCCGGAGTTAGGTCGTTCATCATGTTGACTTCTCGACCTAGATACACA